AACGCATCAGAAGTGAATAAAATTGTAATACTAGTTTCATTTGGTTTCTTCAATATGGCTCCAAACATTCTTGTTTGGTTTTTCAATATTTGTAGCATTTGTTTTTTTTGTTGCTACAACTGGATTACTACAATTTCCAAGTTCCCCAATTGCGTATTTATTTCCAATTCTTGGTTGACGTGATTCTAAAACTCCTTACAATGTCAGAATTGACAATAGCATAAGTAATAAAATCTATTTTTATAAGATTTAAGAATTACCAACGTGTATGAAATAGGGAACATCTTTCACTGAAAAGTTTAGAGAAAATTAACAGATACATCACATGTAATATTTTCTAGTTTTTCAGGTGAAATGAATTTTTTTTATCGTGCTTCGATGGACACTATGTCTTTAATAGTAAACGTATCATTGTTTTTTCATCTGGCCAGCCGTGGTAATCTTTTTTGAAAATATCTTCATATCTTCTGTATTACGACAAAAAACCTAATAGCTTGAGAGTTACATAAAAATTGGCTAATAAATTTACGATCATATCAAGTGTGAATAAAATTATCGTTCTAGTTCCATTTGACTTCTACAAAATTAGTTCAAATATCCTTTTCTAGAGTTTAAATATTTGTAGCATTTGTTGCTCTTTTTGCAGTAAATATTTTACCACGATTTCTAAGTTCTTCATGTGGCGAGTCTATTTCCAATCTTTGCTTGACGCTAGTCCAAAACTCCTTACAACGTCAGATTTTTTTTTTCAAAGGTGTTCAAAATCTTCGTCGCCATTGTTATAAGTTAGAAACGTGCTCATAGTGGCTGGTTAGTAAGACTCTAAGGGTAAACACTGGGACCGAAAAATTGAGCGAAGAAGGGTTTAATCACGTGAGAACATAGATTTGGAATACATTAATTTCGTGCAGCAAGAATACAGGGCGCCGACCCTATTTTGGGGATACTTTGAAAAGTGTGCTTAAAGGTGTTTTTTGCTACCGAGAGCTTTTGTGTTGATGAGTAGGTAGTTCAGCAGTAACTGTCCATTAATGGTAGGAACATTGATTGATGGGTTTGTCTTTGGTTTCATGTTTTCTTTATTTTTACTTCAACTTAGGCGACACTATTTTCGGACATGACACAAATTCCGGGTTTTTAATGATTTAGTCGTCGAACGTCTACAATATGCAAATTTTCTGCAGGTAAATTGTACCTGACCATTACATTTGAGTATCTTTACCATTCACTGCGAAAACGTATTAAAATCCTGAAGAAAAATGCATTCAAAAGAAGTCATCAGTTTAGTCCAAAAGAAGAGAGAAGACGGGCTCAGCATCCGAAAGATCGCCGCTGCGATGAAGCTACCGAAGTCAACAGTTGAATACAGGCAAAGTACAGACTATGAGCGGAAGAAGGAGGACGGAAAAAAACAATTTCCAAGAGAACAGAAAGAAGAATGAAGAGGAGTGTTACGAGGTTGTTATCATCTGGAGAAAAGGTGACAGCGAAGAAAGTAAAGAAGAAGTCGGAACTTGACGTTAGTGTTCGAACTGTACAAAGAAAGCTACAAGAAATTGGACTTAAGTATGCTAAAATCAAGAAAAGAATTACACTAACGAGAAAACACAATGAGGCAAGGCTGGGAAGCGCAATAAGATGGATAACAAACCATATCGACTTCAAGAAAGCGATATTTACTGATGAAAAACGTTTTAAGTTTGATGGAACTGACAGGTGGTGTACATGGTCGAGAAAAGGTCAACCTGTTATTCTCAACAAGAGACAGATGGGAGGAGGAGGAGTCATGGTTTGGAGCATGGTATTTCCGAATGGAAACTTGTGGCTCGAGTGGTTAAAAGGACGTCAAAATAGCTTGAGCTACAGAGAACTTTTGGAAAAGAGAGCCCTACCACTCATAGAAAAAGAAATGAGAAGTATTTTTTTTTTTTGCAGCAAGATAACTGTAGCATCCAAATCAGTGAAAAATTGGATGTGTAAAGCAAATATAACTACTCTGGAATGGCCTGCAAGAAGTCCAGACTGAAAAGATATGGGAAATGCTCGCAGAGCTTGTTTACGACGGACCAGAAATAACCAGAGAGGCTGAACTGTGGCAGTGCATACAAGATGCTAAAAATAGACTGCTAGAAACACGAAGAGACGTTATTATCAATATGTACGAACATTATGAAGATAGACTGATAGAAGTCATTGAAAAAAAGGGTGCTGCCATAAACTATTAGCATTGTTTCTGCAATGTCCGAAAAATACTATCGCCTGTGAAATGTGAAAATTTGTAAAAAAAATAAAAATACTTCTAATTTGAATTCCGCTTTTCCATTTGTAGTATTGAAACAGTTTTTAAATGTTATTGCCATTACACTAAAACAGTAAGGACTGCCTGTGCTACCTAAAACTTGAAAAAAGTGTCTGAAAGATAGTGTCGGCCCCTTGTACGACTGACAAGCACTACGCCTTTGCGACTCACTTTTCCACGGTCCCAGACGTTCTACTCATAATGGTAGACTCTGCTTAAGTAATAGGGTCCATGCTTTAGTCATAGTGTAGATCAGGTTAGACAGTCTTTCTACACAACAAATTTATTCACAGTCGTGACCAAAATTTAAAATGAAAATATGTAAAACAAGTAGATATCTGAAATATATAAAGGAATAAAATTTAAAATAATAAATAACTATAATATTTCCAGTTGCGCTTTTTCCGAAGACAGAGACACTGATGAGATGAAAGGTATTTTATATGTCCAAGAGCAGATACTACACTTTGATCCTAGCCAAAAGGCTGAAAAACAATGGTGGCTGCGATTACGCTATTTCTCAAACGCACAGTATCGAGCGAGTAAGGCAATCTCCAAAAATCCAGTTACCATAAATAAAATAACATCATCGGCTGAATAATTTGTTAAGTTATTATTATTATTATTAAGAGAAATATTCGTAAGACGGGGATTTGGTTAGTACAAATGAATAAAATAATCAATTTTAAATGATAAAGAAAATACTATAATTAGTATCCTTCAAATCTACAAATCACCCATTCGCCTTTGCATGGAGTATATGGTCTGGAGACCCTTCGGTTTATCTCAAGGTCCTTGATAAAATTCAGAGACGGATATGCAATGTAATTGGCCCTGATCTGGCGTCTCGTCTGCAGTCGCTCTCTCAGAGACGTGCCGGCGCCACCCTCTGTCTTTTTTACAAATACTTTCACGGTAACTGCTCCGATGAGCTGCTTTCGCTGGTTCCCAGACTTCATGAATTTAAGCGTTCAACTAGGCTGGCATCTCGCTCTCACCCTTTCACTGTCGAAACTGTTAAATATAGCCGTCTTTTCTACTCCAATTACTTCATGTCTCGCACTTCTCGCCTGTGGAACGCCCTCCCCCCTTCCTGTTTCCAGAATAGATATAATCTCCAACTATTCAAATGTAATATCAATCGACGTCTCTAGATGCCTTGATCTGTCCCCTATCCTTCCCTTCACCCTTTCCTCTATCACTCCTCTTTGCTTTAGCTCCAACTCTCTGTAACCCCCTGTGTGCTAGTGGCTTCCCGCCTTGCTTGGGGTGAAACGCTTAAAAAAAACTCAATGCCTTAGCTTGCACAATCATTACGCCTTGCCAATACCTTACAAATGATATTTGTTTTGACCGCGTGAAAACACGGAGCTGACATATCAGAGACGCTACTTGGTTTCAGTGAGAAAATGAAAAAAAAGAAAGAAAGATATAGATGTCTATAGTTTGTTTCAGTGAAATGGAAAATTTTGTCAATTTCAAATCTTTTCATTTGTACACTCTTACTTATAAATAAATTTATTAATGAAAAAAATATTGGCAGGACAGGTTTTTAGTTATCCATCCCTTCATTAGTTAGTTCGCGTGACCATTGCGCCCAGCCAATACCTGATAATGAACTATTCCGTTGTGACTACATGAAAACACAGAAATGACATATAAGAGACTCTACTTGGTTTCAGTGAGAAAATGAAAAAAAAAAAAAAGAAGTGACGATATAAAGTGAAATGTAAAATATTGTCAATTTCAAATCTTTTCAATTGTACCCCCTTACATATAAATAAATTTATTACTAAAACTGTTTACAAGACAGATTTTCGTCAAGTATTATTAATTCTGTTTGTTCCTCCGTTATTTAGAATAGACAGTTAGGAAAGAATTAACTAAAAATCAACAAACTCCACGCCTCCCCTATCTTAATTATCTTTTCTATTTCTGCTCCCGCCCTTAAACTGCTCCCCAATTCTGATTTTACATGTTTCTTTTTTATTTCAAAATATATTCTCTTATTCTTTTTCTAAAGTCTTTTTCACTTTCCATTATTCTCTGCTTTTTATTCATTTTTCTGTCTTTAATTTCTGACATTTCTTTTAATTTTCTTTTCTTTTCTTATACAGGAAAAGGAAAGTGCAATATTTTTTACTGCATTGTTGCACCATGTCGGTTTCAAAAGTGCAGAGCTTATCCAGAAGCTACTTGCGTGTAAGTATCAAACCGCTTCTGGGGTTATTAATTCACAAATTAATGTCAGTTTAGGTTGCTTTTAATTTGTGAGATATAATTACCCATAACTTGTCTGTCATCACGCCGGCTAGGCGGCGCTGTTCAGGACTATGAAATGAAGAGATAAAAAAAAATCTGCTTACTTTATTTTGCTCCTGAGATAATACTGTACTACTACTACTACGACATTCACCATGGGCGGATTGAGCCGGCTTCTTCCTGTTATGAGAAGAAGATTCTTGGGATAAATTACAGAAGTAGGGTACCCAGGCCTACTCGAATAACGTTCTTGCGCAGACGCAGAGACAGGAACGACCAGAAGCCGCCGGTTACCGATGCAGACGCTCCTTGGATTTTCACCAGAGCCCTTGTTAGCCGGCGTGTGGCCCTACCAGGAACGAAGTTCCGGGCGGCATAGCTCTGACACTACCGTTTACACCCCCCACCGACTGTGAGGTAAGGGTTGGACTTTGGGGGTTTACAGTACCAGGTGTTCCCAAGCGGTCCCCCATCTAAGTACTGACCTGGCTCTACGATGCTTAACTTCGGTGATCGAACGAGAACCGGTGTTTCAGCGTGATTTGACCTGAGATAATAGCAACAACTAGTCACTCTTTGTCACCGGAGAGACTTCATAGTCATCCAACTAACTTCATTTGAAACGAACCACGATGACATCACACATTTTCTAACAACATTATAATATTTTTCTTTCTTTTCAGCATTTTGTATACATGCAAAAAATAATTTTCTTTCTCTTCGTTTGAGAGCTCTGTTAAAGATAAATTACTGTACAAAACTCCCTCGCGTGTTAAATCCATTTTTAACGTGTTCAACTGTATTCTTTCTATCAATGTTGAATTTAATTTCTTTCAAATTTTCTCACCTTCCACCTCATCCATTGCAGATCTGTACCACCTACCCAGAACAATTAGTTTTTATTTATTCGATTAATTTTACGAGCACTATTTACATTATTCGGAAGGATATATATATATATATATATATATATATATATATATATATATATATATATATATATGCAAAATAAATGGATATAAATCCGGTTTAGAATGAAAAAATTCTGAAAAAAACAAACAAAAATCCTTAAATGTAGTTAAAATGAATTTTAACTACATTTAAGGATTTTTGCTTGTTTTTTCAGAATTTTAAAATCTTATATATATATATATATATATATATATATATATATATATATATATATATATAATCAGATATGTGGTGCAGTTAAATGCATATTACAATGAAGCATTCATACAAAATGTAAATTAGTAAAGTTAATGATATAAAATGGCGAACAATCTTCGCTAACGAAATTTTAAAGATTCATTAACTAAAATAGATATTTAGCTCTATTCTGTATTGAGCCTCTTTTAATTTTAAACATTATGGGCAGTGGAATTATTATCCTTTTGTTCTCATTTTTATATATATATATATATATATATATATATATATATATATATATATAAAGAAATATAGTCTTAAGGTATGCTATATTTATGGGATAAAGTGCTCAATATCAGAGATAGAGTGTTGACTTCTATGTTCCATATATATATATATATATATATATATATATATATATATATATATATATATATATATATATATATATATATATATATATATATATATATATATATATATGTGTGTATGTGTGTACGCTTTTGATATGGACAGATATAAACGAATAGATAGAAGTAAAGAAATAAATTCTGTGACAGCGTTTACATATTTTCCATTAGTGCCAGAGGGTTTGGTTCGATCCCAGGAAGAAAGGCCTAGCTTTGAATATATTTTTCAATATAGACCCTCCACTTCTTGGATGAATCGCATAATATAATATTCTCAATATTTCCTTCTATTTAGAAATATGTGGAACTAAAATACACTTAACAAACACTAAATATATATTTTATAGTATGTATTACTTAATATGCTTCTTTTTCTTTTTTTTCAGGAACAATTATTGCAATGGCTGCAATGCCATCTTCTTTGTCGGAAAAAAACAAGTTGATTGCAATGTAAAATCAGGCAACCTTGAAGCAAGTGAAAAATAAAGAATATTCAGAAATAAAATCAATGAGTGAACACAATTTCTTTTCAAAGTTTGTTCCGTTGAGTCTTCAAAAGAAAGAAAAAAACTATCACAGGACAAAGATATTTGCTATCAACGTCGAAACACAGTTGGTAGTTACATAAATTTACATCCCTTGACCCTAACAAATATTCCCCTATATCCTTAAAACATCTTTTCTCCTATTTGTTGATGGAAGAAAATGCAGAATATATATATATATATATATATATATATATATATATATATATATATATATATATATGCAATTTTCATTAATTCATGTTTCATTAAATAATATAGACAAGTTTTGTCTATTTATTTTAAGTTCATTTCATGTTGTCTGATAAGCTTAATCACATTATCGTTGACTTAAACATGAAAACAATAAACAAAAATTAAAAATCATTGAAGCTATATACATAAAACAGTTGAAACCTAATCTGAACAAAATAAACTATGAAATCTCCACAAATATCCTTAAATGCCTATAATTAACAGAAGCCATTGGTTTATACCGACGGTTTTCCATACTTAATACTTCTCGTTTTTCACTCTCGCGTGGTCATGTGTGACGCGATTTTCGCTTCCTTGTCTCGTAAATACGAGATTATCGTTACTTTTAGCTTATTCAAGCAGCAAACGCGGACTATTACTATAGTTTCGTCTGTGTGTCATCTTTGATAATAGCTTATGCAAGCAGAAAGCTTAGCTTGGATTTAAACATGTATCAATATGGTGTTTTCCTTTCGTCTTTCAACGATAATGTGATTAAGCTTATCAGACAATATAGATTTTCTAGTTTTTTTGTTTTTGTTTTTTTATTATTCCTATTTCAATCTTCGAGAGTGCCGCCATTGAATATTACACAAATATTAATCTACGCTCGGGCCTTTTCCCTATTTCACCTTTCTTAACAGAATTACTACTGTCCCAAACAAACATACACAACAGTATCAAGAAATCAAAAGAAAATGGTTGAATCAGTCAACACAGCAATAATACCAATATCTCCACACGTTACAGTATTTCACGTAACTTTCAGTTAACAGTACGAAAATAGAGTTGTCTAATTTCTTCCAGTTGCTAAGGACATTTTGTTTTATTATTATTAGTTACTTTGTTTAAATAAATTCATTTCGTTTTTTGCCTTGAAAAAGTCCACATTGGACGAAACGCGTCGGCAACTAAAACAGTTTTCCTATTGTCATTTATATATATATATATATATATATATATATATATATATATATATATATATATATTAGCTGGTCACTTGTATTCGAGGCTACCCGTCTACTAGGGCGTCTAGCCAATCTCTATTGCAGACGATCGTTCAGGCACATTTGTGTTTGTTCAGCGCCCAAAGATGCAAAGTGTGGTTTATACTGCAACAATTTCTGGGACGGAGCGTGTTATCTAGCATGATCAATAATCTGAACAATGTCAGCACACTCAAACCCTCAGTCATGATGACTTGTGACTTCGTGATAGCACGTGTTCCATCTACACAATTTCACTGCCAAGTTTTGCGTCAACCTGTGGTATAGTTTTCAGACACTTCCCAAAGGTGGTGTACGCTAGAACCGACCCCCTCCGATAACGTCAGGAAATATCCTTCCTGACAGATCAACTGCGGTGAGACTCATATATATATATGTATTATATATTATATATGTATTATATATTATATATGTATTATATATTATACATATATATTATATATTATATGTGTATATATTATACATATATATATATATATATTATATATATATATATATATATATATATATATATATTATATTATATATATATATATATATATATATTATATTATATATTATATATATATATATATATATATATATATTATATGTTATATATATATTATATATATGTATTATATATATATTATATATATATTATATGTATATATTATATATATATTATATATATATTTCATATATTATATATATATATAATGTGTGCGTATTAAGGCAGTAATCCCTCTTTTATACATGCTTCGTTAAAGACGACTGACACGGTACTGTGATTAAGCTTTATATTTAATTTTTTTTGTGTTCGTACAGGTGTTTTCTTTTCTGGACACAGTTTGTAAAAACTGATCTAAAGTTCTATCTATCCGAACGCTTTCGTCAATTCTTTAAGCCATTATCAAGAATATTTTTATTTTTACTTTTAAATTAATCTGTGTGTTGTAATTCGTATGTATCTGGAATTATAAGAATGTTATATTTTTCAAATACGGTCAGTACATGTGCCGTGTTATTGAGTGTTGGTTTTATTATTATTATTATTATTAGGACTTTCATTATTTTCAATTGTTTTTACACGTGGATGAGGTTATTATGCTCGTATTTTCTACTAGAATGTTTCAGATGGAATCTGGTAGGTTTGTGTGTGTGTGTGTTTAAGTGTCTCCTAATCGAGCTATGGTCGGATAGGTGTGACGTAAGTCGTCCGGATAGGGATAGAGTAGTGTAACCTATGTAATTATGAGTTTGGTTTGATCAGGAACACAGGCCTTTGAACTCGTAAATAATGTTGGTTAGAGATATCATACAGAAATATGCAACACCAGTCGACCCAAACAAGAAAATTAAATTATCTATTATCAAAATTTATAAAGCTCCTAACCGCAGTATCTTGTCAGTTGTCTTTAAAAAGAATGTATGTATGCATACATGCATATATATATATATATATATATATATATATATATATATATATATATATATATGTATACATGCATATATATAGGTATGTATACATGCATATATATATGTATGTATACATATATATATATATATATATGTATATATATATATATATATATGTATGTATGCATATATATATATATGTATACATGCATATATATATGTGTATGTATATGCATATATATATGCATATATATATATATGTATACATGCATATATATATGCGTATGTATATATATATATGTATGTGTATGTATACATGCATATATGTATGTATACATGCATATATGTATGTGTATGTATACATGCATATATGTATGTGTATGTATACATGCATATATGTATGTATACATGCATATGTGTATGTATACATGCATATATGTATGTATACATCCATATATATATGCATCATATGCTACAATATTCATGGGAAAATTTGAGGAGACCCATATCTATCCAAGCATTGGTAGTGACTGCGTATTCTATGGAAGATATATCGATGATATATTCTTTTTGTATACACGGGTAGTGATGACAAATTACCCAACTTATGACCCTTAAACACCAACTCAATTAAGTTTGACTATGAAAAAATCCACAACATCAGTAATATTTTAGACACCCGCATTTACATATAGATGAAAACAGAAAACTACAAACGACACTACACACTAAAATAACCGACGCCCACAACTATCTACACTTTAAGTCTTCCCACCCTAAACACCTCAAAGAGAACCTTCCC